AACAAAGTGGCCATATTGTTTACATTAGAGTCCGCACGTATGTCATATCTGGTTACAGTATCCATGTGCTTTAATAAGGCGGAACTTCTTTTGTCTGTGGGCGGGTTTTGAAATTCTTCTGTTGCCAAATACGGTTATCCGCTGCGACGGTTGCACCTTCTTGAATTTCATTAGAATATAGGCGCTCTTTGTTGTCCAAATAAAGTTGTTTTAGTACTGTTTTTGACCAGCTTTTGTGGATGCTTATTCCTAACTTCTGCAACTCGTCCCGGAACCTTGCATTTGTCCAATTTTCTGGATTTTCCATATCCCATTGTGAGCTGTGTATTGCATTTTCTTCGTTGTTATATGGATGCTGTCTGTTTCTGGAATGACGGTTACATCTGGTTAAAGAAGCCATATTATTTAGTAAAGTTTTTTATAGCCGTAAAATCACGAAACTATTAAATAAACTGATTCAAGTTCTCTAATTTTGGGAAATAGTAATCTAATATTGAATAGCAAGAAGTGTTTGGAAAGACGAAACATGCTCCCTTTAACTGCAATGATCAAATCATGTCCAAGATAACGAATTTACATTGAGATTTGAAGAGGTAACTTCAGGTCTAGTGAAGAATATCGTAATCTTTCACAATGGTCTCAAGTTTAACAGCAGAAAATACATGTTAATAAGTAAAACTGTAAAATGATATTGAAACCCTATTCCTATTTATAAAGTAAACATCCTTTGTATTTAACAGCCAAATCAAAAGTGAGAAGTCAGCAGCCTGCAATTGTAATCTGAGTACCTAATCCCTGATAATCAGGCAGAACAAATTAGGCATGACTTTGACCATATAATGAAATGAACTGCCCCATCTCACGGAAGAAACCATTCCGCTTGTATAAGCAACACTGTGTATAAGTTACAATGACGGTTCATTTGATTTCCATTAAAATGAAGAAAAAAAATATTTCTTATTTAAAACAAAGATTAATTATTCTTTAACTCATATTATTCAAATTTATAAAACATAACTTAATTACATGTATATTGAGACTTATAAAAATAACTGATTACAAACAACATTGCACCATCTTTAAGTAATACATTTATGAGCATTATTAAAGATGTTAGAAAATGCAATCAAAATTTGGTATATTTTCTCCTATATATTTCACCATATATTATGCTAACAACTCATCCTGATGTACAACAAGTACAAAAATCCAATGGTGGTCAATAAGTTCCATTAAAACAAAGTAATGACTGCATTCTGATTCTGGCGTGGGCGAAATATTTTACTTCTTACGCGAACAACTTCAAATCAAATAATAAAGGAACAATCTAACAGTGTGAGTAGAAATTCACTCATTTACAAAAAATGTACAAATATATATATTATTCTCTATTACCTTTCCAGTCAAATTAGCAGATGAATTTCAGCCGTGTAATTACTGGTTTTTAAATTATAAAAACAAACCAATAGAAGAAATATTGGCATTTTTAAACACTGAGAAAACAATCTTAGTAGCTTTTTTCTGAAATTCATCATTATTTATAAACAAAAATAACCCCTCCTGAAGTACAAAAAGTAATACATTCCAATGGTGGTTAATGATTTCCATTAAAATAAAGAAATAATTGCACTCTTAATCAACACAAACAAAGCTTTAAGTATCTTTACTGTTATATTATTTTTCTTTTCAGCATCTAGACTATTGCCATTCAAATGCATAAGTGCTAAATAGGGTTCTTATTTCAAATGATAACATTTTATCTCCTGTTAAGTGATACAGAAACAATCTGAGCATGTGATTATTTTGCACTTGCACAAATTTATGTAATTTATTTTCCAGAAATATAAAACTAATGAAAAATACATATAATGCATGAAAAGTGATTTATATACTTTATGTGTTATTGCGACAAAGTTGATTCTTTTCATTTCTTTGTAAATTCCTCCGCGTCGGAGCACCCATGTCACACAGTAGTAAAATATAAAAGTTTTATCTTTATAATATTTAAATTATCATAAAAGAAAAGGTGGTAAGGAGATATATTTACAGCAGGCCATTATTTAATTTTTTTAGTATACGTTAAAGAGATATTAGCTATGGTAAGATATTTTATAGCATTGCTTAAAAAACAAATATAAGTAAAATGTGTGCTAAAATTTACAGTGGGAAGATTTATATCAGATTTAATCATGTTAATTACATTATATAGTTACTTATAAAATTTAAAAGTAACTCAAACCCTTCAATTTGTATGATAAGATGTATAAAAATAAAAACTTCTATATATGATTCAATTGATAGTGTCCTCAACCTGCGGTTCTAATCTTAATTAAGATTATCAACCCTTATCTGATATATAATTTCAATATTGGATTTACCAGCAGTAAAATTGTCATGGTAACTCTCACATCGCTTATTTCACTTATTTGACATATTTGACGGATTATATGGGTCTTTGATCAACGATCATTCATTGGTCAGTCAATCATCCGTCACCAAACATTCACTAATCAGTTCAGTGCCAGTCAAACAGTAACACCTTAGGTTGCCAGTGCTGTATAGATAGCAGACTGAGAATTTGATTTACCCTCTTTTGTGTTTTGAACAAAACATAAAGAAGATATAGAGAAACTAAACAGACTAAATGATCAGCAATTCAAGATCAACAAAACAGAGATTTTTGTCACAAATTATATTCTTGTCTTGGCGGGCATCTGCCAAACAGGGTCTGTTCAATAACAAGAAAACGCTTTGATTATTTTTTTTTATTTTTTAAACTTAGATATGTTTTTTCTGTGACTAAATGATAGTCAAGTTCAATTTTCACGATTTTAGCTTTTCTCCTTGTTGATTGATCGCCCTTTTTAATATCCAAATGTGGTACTTCTAATGTGATTGAGTTATTTTCCTTTAAAATGAAATTGTTAATTATATATAAAGTTTGATTACACTAAGTGTTTTTAAATAATGTTCACCTGTTATCAGATTACAAAGCATATGGTAAATGATTTATCACACAATTATAATTGGAGTAACAGATTTATTTAAAAATTGTCTGTTTCCTAAGTGCTGATGATTATAAGCTTTATATAGGACTGTATAAATATAGTAAGAAATTTACTTTTTATTTTTATACATTTTGAAGATAATTACAGATAAGTTGCCCGCAGACACCGGCGGGCATCTGCCAAACAGTGTCCGTTCAATAACATGAAAACGCTTCAACGAATTCTTTTCAAATTTAGATATTTGTTTCCTGTGACTAAATGAAGGTAAAGTTCATTTTTCACGATTTTAGTTTGTCTCCTTGTTGATTTATCGCCCTTTTTAATATCCAAAAAGCATATGGTAAATGTCTTATAAAACAATTATAATTGGAGTGACAGATTTATTTGAAAATTTTCTGTTTCCTAAGTGCTGATGATTATAAGCTATAAATAGGACTGAATAAGTATAGTAAGAAATTTACTTTTCATTTTTGTACATTTTGAAGATTATTACAGATAAGTTTTATAGATTTTTAAAAGACATTGTATATAATGATAAATAACATTTTGGCCTTTTTTTCTTTTCTTTGGTAAATTGTTTGAAGAATTCTGTTGTAGGTTTGTTAGTTATTCTGTAAAAACTAATTTTCTGAATGTTATGCATATTTTTTTGATGAAGTGAACTCCTGTTAAAACTAAGCTTATATTGTCAATTAATAAACATATATTTAGATTTCTGATTGTGGGCCCAGTTTTCAAGTTTGTCCGAATCAGGATCCAAAATTAAACTTTGTTTGATTTCAACAAAAATTAAATTTATGGGGTTCTTTGAAATGCTGAATCTAACTATGTATTTAGAGATTTTGGATTTTGGGCACCTTTGTCAAATTGGTCCACATTGAGGTTCAAAAGGTCCTGCAATAAACTTTTGTTTGATTTCATCAAAACATGAATTTTTGGGGTTCTTTGATATTCTGATTCTAATAATGCACTTAGATTTTGGATATTGGACCATAATACAATTTCAAATTTTTCAGTTCTTTGACCACATTCATGTTGTGTCACAAACCTATGCTGTGTAAAATATTCAATCCTAATCCAAATTCAGAGCTGTTTTAAACTAAAATGTAGAGTTCATACTTGCTCAACTGTTAGGGATTCGACCTCTACAGGAAATCCAGTTTGCTGTCACTCTGACAGCATCTTGTTAATATTGACATTGATTAAATAAATTATTTGCCTTACTATCTCTATGAATCATATTTTTCTTACATAACACCTAAATGGAGAAGTTCAGCAGGATTAAAGGTTAAACAATGATAATTTGATTAAATTTAATTGCAAGAAATCCGAATGGAATAGACAGTCAACTAAATAAAACAATTAACTAATAACTAATGAGATAAGGCAACGATTTCAGATTTTTTTACTTCATTTCTTGCACACATAACTAAACAAACATTAATCGAACTTTCTGCAATAATAGGTTATACCTTTTTGTGTGTATTGGCAAGACTTGCAGATCTTCCATTTGTATAATTAGAGCTACAGAAAGTTTCAATAAAATGTTTTAAAGTCATAGATAGAGAAAACATGCATGGTTTAGATATACTCTTTAGGTCAGTATTTGTGTCTTAAAGTCTGTTTAACCCAACACATGATACAACAAATGTCTACTTTCTTTTAAAAAACTGAACTTGCTTAATTTGACCACAAAGCTGGCCATAACTAAGTACAGAGTGTATAATGCAAGCGTTAATTTATTTTCTGAATGACATATATTTTGTTGGTTGTAGATTTTTACTTTTTCATCAAAACTAAGACACCATGGTGGTTTACCAGTTGTTCTATCTAAAACACAATGGAATTTGTGTGTGGTCAATATAGCTTAAGTCTATGTTTTTTTTTTCTTTCTGAGAGAACCTCCGGCAATTAGTAAAACTATGAATACAACTGTGGACCTTAATCTTAAGACAGCAATACAAATCCTGATGTAAAATCATTATTTTGTAGAGATGTTTCAGTTGTGGATGAACTCAATTCATTGCTACTGTAGACCCAAAAGTAATGATGAAGAAGTGCATAGGAAAGAAAATGATAATTACATTTATCCACCAGTAGTTCTTGTTGGCTCACATAAAGATAAAGTTGAACTTACTGAGGGAGAAGAGGTATTTTGAAATATATACATATATATAAAAGATAAAGAGGCAGAGAAAATATATAATCCTCAGGGATTTTTAAATGAAAAAATCTCATCACTCTAATAAATCTGATTGTGTATTATATTTTTTTTTTATATATTCTGCATGCAATTATTATTGTTGTTGATTTTGGGGGTAATTGCCTCAAAATTTTAGGAATTAGGGGCAAAAAACAAGCATTTTTCTAGTTTCATGACAATAACTTATGTGTAAGTGTATGGATCTTTCTGAAATTGTACTACAAGGTTCCATATCACAAAGGGGAAGCTGGAATTGAGTTTGAGGGTAATTGCCCAAAACGTTTAGGAATAAGGGGCCAAAAAGGGGCTAAAAATAAGCATTTTTGTCGAGCCTGCGACTTTTGTCACAGAAAGCTCGACATAGAGATACTGATCCGGCGGCGGCGTTAGCAAACTTCTTAAAAGTTTTATATTTTAGAAGGTGGAAGGTCTGGATGCTTCATACTTTGTATATGGATGCCTCATGTTATGAAGTTTTCGTCAGTTACATGTCCAATGTCCTTGACCTCATTTTCATGGTTCAGTGACTACTTGAAAAAAAAGTTAAGATTTTTTGTAATGTTAAATTCTCTCTTATTATAAGTAATAGGATAACTATATTTAGTATATGCGTACCTTGCAAGGTCCTCATGCTCGTCAGACAGTTTTCACTTGACCTCGACCTCATTTCATGGATCAGTGAACAAGGTTAAGTTTTGGTGGTCAAGTCCATATCTCAGATACTATAAGCAATAGGTCTAGTATATTCGGTGTATGGAAGGACTGTAAGGTGTACATGTCCAACTGGCAGGTGTCATCTGACCTTGACCTCATTTTCATGGTTCAGTGGTTATAGTTAAGTTTTTGTGTTTTGGTCTGTTTTTCTTATACTGTATGCAATAGGTCTACTATATTTGGTGTATGGAATGATTGTAAGGTGTACATGTCTAGCTGGCAGGTGTCATCTGACCTTGACCTCATTTTCATGGTTCAGTGGTCAAAGTTAAGTTTTTGAGTTTTGGTCTTTTTTTCTAATACTATATGAAATAGTTCAACTATATTTGGTGTATGGAAATACATTTATGATCTGTTTGTCAGTCACGCAGGTTTTATTTGACCTTGACCTCATTTTCAAGGTTCATTGCTCAGTGTTAAGTTTTTGTGTTTTGGTCTGTTTTTCTTAAACTATAAGCAATAGGTCAACTATATTTGTTGTATGGAAGAATTGTTAGCTGTACATGCCTGCCTAGCATGGTTCATCTGACCTTGACCTCATTTTCATGGTTCATTGGTCAATGTTACAGGCCTCTACAATAACTTTTTTTCCAACTTGCCCAATAGGACAAGTACATATCAAAACTTACTTGTCCGAATGGAATTGTAACTTGTCCAAAAAAAAACCCTTTATATTATCCTTTTTTGCATTTTAGATTGATTCAATGAACAAAATGAATTAAACGATAGAACAGAATTTGATTTATATTTCTTAATATCCTTTTCAAAAATATTAGTCGAGAACAACTGAATCTAGTCATGTCTAGTCACAGGACTTAGGTCCTAGTTTTCATCAATGCCAAAGACTCTTCACATCAGGCACAGTCTGGTAGGCCTTCAGTCTACACTCTTTTGGTTTGTATCCTGGTCTTTTATGTTGATAAAATATTGATTATTATTATTAATGCCTTACTACAATCAGCTTTGTTTTAATATATTAAAATGTTTATTCAAACACAATCAAATATTGTTTTGTCTAAATATGATCATATGATTTTATGAATTTTATGGTCAATAATTTCTTCATTTTTATTTTAAAAATATTTTTGTTAAATACAATTTATCATTTTTTTATTACAAAGCAACAGAATAACATGGGGAAAAACGAGGTACTGGTTTTTCTTGGTACTGAAATGTCTCAAACAGTACCGAACTGTCTATTAAACATGGAGCCGATTCGTTTCCTTGCCGGTGCCGAACTGTCTTGTTACCTTATCTACAAAGCGCACCGCTGATTCCGATCAGTAAGACTGGTTTCGAGAATAGTATGCGTTTTATTTGTTATAAAGTATCTGACAAAGAACCAGTTTTAAATTATCGATCGCAAGTAAACATGTCAAATTACTATTTATTTTTATCCTCTTTTCTTGTTTTTTGTTTATTACTTTGATCATCAAAGTTGGATTTAATTAATTTTCTACAGAATGATTTTACTTATCCCGTCGGACAAGCTTGATATGGCTTTTACTTGTCCGACCTTTTTTTCCTCTGGTACCGGACAATCGGACAAGCTTTATTGTCGAGCCCTGAATGTTTAGTTTACTTGGTTAATGTTAAGTTTATGTGACAGTTGTAATAAAGCTTTATATTTAGGACTATCAACATAATATCAATGATTAGTAAAGAAGGCGAGACATTTCAGTGTGTGCACTCTTGTTCTAGTTTCCAGACAATAACTTGTGTTCAAGTGTATGGATCTCTCTGAAATTGTACTGCAAGGTACCATACCACAAAGGGAAAGCTGGAATTGAGTTTTGGGGTAATTGCCCTAAACGTTTAGGAATTTGGGGCCAAAAAACAAGCATTTTTACAGTTTCCAGACAATAACTTCTGTTCGAGTGTATGGATCTCTCTGAAATTGTACTGCAAGGTACCATACCACAAAGGGAAGGCTGGGATTGAGTTTGGGGGTGATGAATCATAAGGGGGTTCAACAAATTTGGGGGGGGGTTTCCTTTTTTTTTATACGCCCGTTTACGGGACGTATTATGGTATACCGTTGTACGTCTGTCCATCCGTCTGTCCGTCCGTCGTCAACATGACAGACATTAACTCAAAAACGCTTTAACCAATTTGCATAAAACTTTGGTGATTTTTTTATATATATTGACGTGAGCTCCCTTTCATTTTTTATAAATTTTAGATTTTACGTTTCCGAGTTATGGGGTTTTATTCATTAAAAAAAGGGGGATTTTCCAGTTTTCGGACAATAACTCGAGAATGTTTTCACCAACTTGCAAGAAGTTGTGGTGAATTGTTTATATCTATTGACATGAGCTCCCTTTTGATTTTTAAATATTTTAGATTTTACATTTCCGAGTTACAGGGTTTTATTCATAAAAAAAGGGGGATTTTCCAGTTTTCAGACAAAAAATCAAAAATGCTTTCAGCAGTTCTTATGAAACTTTGGTGAATTGTTTATATCTATTGTATGAGCTCCGTTTAGAATTTTATAAATTTTACATTTTACATTTCTGAGTTATGGGGTTTTATTCATTAAAAAAGGGGGGATTTTCCAGTTTTTGGACAATTACTCAGAAATGCTTTCAGAAATTCTAATGAAACTTTGGTGAATTATTTATTTCTATTGGTGTAAGCTCCCTTTACATTTTTATAAATTATTAATATGACATTGAGAATTAATTGAACTTTAATTGTTTATAGTCTGACAGCAGATTTACTAAGTATTGCGCAACAGCACAGTGTATTGCACAACAGCAAGAAATCTTTAATTGAATATAAATTCAATTCATATAACCAATTTCAAGTTAAATATTTAATACAATCCAAATTCAGACCTGTATCAAGCTTGAATATTGTGTCCATTTTTGTCCCAACTATTCAGGGTTGGACCTTTGCGGGCGTATCCAGCTGCGCTCAGCGAAGCAGTTTATTTTTTTCCTTTTTTCCTCTTTTTTTTTTTCTTTAAAATTTTCCATTTTAAGTTGGTTATTTTTTATTTGTATATAAAAGCAAATAATAATGATATGGTTTGATTTTATCAAAAATTGAAATATTGGGGTTCTTTGATATGCTGAATTTAACCGTGTATTTAGATTCTTAATTTTTGGTCTCGTTTTCAAATTGGTCTACATTAAGGTCCAAAGGGTCAAAAATTAAACTTAGTTTGATTTTAACAAAAATTGAATTCTTGGGGTTCTTTGATATGCTGAATCTAACCGTGTATGTATTTAGATTTTGGATATTGGACCACATTCATTCTGTGTCAGAAACCTATGCTGTGTCAAATATTTAATCACAATCCAAATTCAGAGCTGTATCAAGCTTGAATGTTGTGTCCATACTTGCCCCAACTGTTCAGGGTTCGACCTCTGCGGTCATATCAAGCTGTGCGCAGCGGAGCATTTTATTTTATATTCAAATTATAGTATTTGTGGTTAGCAAAATGGGTTGGAAATATCACGATGGAAACATCATGGTTTTTCAAGAGTAAAGAGAGATATACAAATCATATGAATACACAGAACTTCGATCCAATCAATCATTTGCCTAAATGTTAAATTTTTACTTGTTTTTTACTATCTAAAAGCGTGTAATTTTTGTACAATTTTCATTTGAAATCTGGGAATCCTAATCTTTTATTATTGTAAATTTAAAAGCTCGATGAATTGACAGAACTATATAGTATTAAAAGAGGAGCGAAAGATACTAGATGGACATTCAAACTCATAGCTCAAAAATAAACTGACAACACCATGGCTAAAAAAGAGTAAAGACAAACAGACAAACAATAGTACACAAGTCAAAACAGAGAAGAAACTGAAGACTTAGCAACACGAACCACACAAAAATGGGGGGGGGGGGGGGGGGGGGGCACCCGTGTTGCTCATGTTTATTACAAACCCAGTAAATAGTCTAATTCGGTAGGTAACATTCATGGAAAGGGAACAGGATTGTAGTTACAACATTTGGAACATATCCGATATCATCTGTGAAACGGATATTCTGTAACAGTCAACCAACTCGTGATGGCGTCCGAACAATTTACGAAGGGATTACTTCAACTTCACCATTTTGAACTCTTAGTTTATTAGCTTCATTGTGAGTAGCAATCCTCTATCAAAGAAATCATGATAGGAAATACAAGCCCGGGAATATCATATCAATTGGGAGATATATACTCCATATGCAGGTGCTGCTGGAATGTTGCTACATATAAATGGAAAGATTACAATTGGGAAGCTGAAATCATCTCTTTTGTAGTAATTTTTTTTTTCAAACGACCCTCATTGTCAATTTCTATTAATCTAACCATCATGAACACTAACTTATTGGTAAGAACATTTTCTTACCATCATGACGTAATTTACAAAAATATATCTATATCTAGGATAGGCTGCAATGTCGATTGAATGCTTATTAACAATCAGGTTACTTAGTATATTAAGGTTTAGACAGTGTTTATGATATATTTCGTTTAATATTGTTAAACTAGAGTATTTCTATAAATGACTTCAAATAAATTGACGGGAACGATCACTTAATTGGTATGCACCTGTTTTGTCAATAATTGTTACAAGTAATAAATAGTAGGTTAGCTTGGGCGATTGTAGTATTTCTGAGCACTTCATATGAGTCAATCGAAATCTTGAATAATCGGACTAAGGTGTTAAGCAACCAACAATCAATCAATTACAAAATGCGAACATAAACTTACAAAAGAAAATATATATATATATATATGTAGGACTCTAAAGTGCGATGGGGACGCTAAAGTACGATGCTCACGCTAAAGTGCGATGGTCTGCGCTAAAGTGTGATGCTTCCATACGCTAAAGTCCGATGGTCCACGAAAGTATAAACGTAAGAAACGTAGTTGGATTATGACGTTAACAGTCGTTTATACAAACCAAAAATGTACATGTCGGAAGATAAATCAAGAATATTTAATTAACAACTTTTAAACCAAATGTCCATGACTTAATTAATTTAAACCTAACGGCGTGCTTTGTAGGCTAAAGCAAATGTGTTTTTTCGGGTGCTGGAAGAAGGACTTGTATCCTGCCGTTGACCATTTTACTATATAGATACAAAATAGTATGTATCCTATATCTTGCCACTATTGGAAGCGATGGATACATTTAAATCAATTTTTACGTTGCAGTTTACTTTGCGGTCCCCGTTAAAATATTGTCGATTTTGCTAAAAAGTAACATCAGTTTAATAAAGGTACATGTTTTTTAAAGCGTAAATTATAAATAATCGGCTCAAACATTAGTTTGTACATTGTAGGAAAATAAAACATGTATTTGTACTCGCTACGAAAAAGGAGAAAGCTCTACGAACATCGCCTTTCTCTTGCATTTAAATTAAAGCTTATATGTTACATATTCCGACAATGAACGAATTTTGTATTTGAAATTTACAATGATGACTGTAAGGGGAGGTGTTCACATAAGATATAGACTGTGTGAACGGCAAGCCACAATAAACACCAAATATTTGATACGCCCGAATTGTTAAAAATGCATTTACAGGAAATATAGTATTTTATGACACGTAAATTACCTTTTAAGCAATAATAACGTGGTCGGTCTTCCAAATTTAGAAACAATCACTTAAGCCTGACCGGTAAATATAAAGCCTTATACATATGTTATACTTTAGCATCCCTGTACTTTAACGTTTTAAGCCCTCGAACCCTACCCTATTGGTCCATTTTAATTAAGCGTGATGTACCATCGTACTTTAGCAAACAAACAACCATCGCACTTTAGAGTAAGACACCATCGTACTTTAGCGTAGACCATCGCACTTTAGAGTACCATCACACTTTCAAGTCCTACATATATATTAGGGATGTCAACTCGGTGAAGATTTACTAATCGATTACTTCTTGGTAAACGGAGCGATACTTGAATACTTGCTCGGTAAAACATTTACAAATTGGAAACACAAAATTATACCCATTATACCCATTTTATGTATTGTGGGTCGTTGTCTGCTGAATGTAAAACCCTCAATATTATTACCTAGGACTAGATAATAGTCCATGGAACTGTATACCATAATTTATAGCTCATTAACTAAATGTTCTAATTATTTAAACTGGCAATAAACTAATCAATTAACTAATTAATATCTATAGCAAAATGATTACTCAAACATGTAAAAAAAAATACACATTTATTGACCAACAAAGGGGTGGCGATTAGAACTTACTAATGTCTTTAATCATTTCTGAGGGTTGACACATGGTGCAACGAATTTGTTCTTATTTAAAGATATTATCTTGTCAACTTTTTCTGGGATGAGGCGATTTCTCAACTGTGTTAGGTAACTAAAAGTCCTGTTGATGAAAATATATGCTCTGACGGTACAGAAGTGGGGCAATGACTAACATAAGCTAAATGTGTGAGTCTCGGAAAAATGCTTTTGTTCATATATCCTTCCTCTGTTTGGAGGAATTGTTAATGCAAACATTCGAATTGTATCGTATTTTAATTTTTCTTAATTTGATTTAAATTAATTATTTAATTTCCTTGGAGGTGCTCTAAAAAAACTTGTTCTTTTTTGTTTACACTTAAAGAAAGCAACATTATTCTAACAGGATACCGATTAGTCGAGTTTCATTTTGGTAATCGATCTCGTTACTACCGAGCAATACTCAAGTACTGGAGTACTCGTTGACATCCCTAATATATATGTATATATATATATATATATATATAAACAAGTCTAAATTGAAAACAACGTTCAAACCTATGATTGCGTTGGATAAAAACCGCAATTTTTATACGTGTGCATGCAAAACAAATTTCTTGTCAGAGGGGTCTAAATACAGCACAAACAACATTTTCCAAAAGACCAAAAAAGTGAAAAAGTATATTTTAACAAAACGCATTTGACTAACAGGTTGAGCAGCAAATGTTCTTAAACCCTGCTGACTGCCATTGGCGATTGCCAAATAAATGGATCACCGATGTAATAAATGGATCTTAATTTTGAATTTAATACTAAACAGAAAACAATAAACTTGCGGAAAAAAGGTTTTTGTACACCATATCCGGATTTCAACAAATAATGCGGAAAAAAGGTTTTTGTACACCATATCCGGATTTCAACAAATAATGTCTCTTCAGTGATGTTAGGAATCCAAACGGTATTTGGAAAGCCCAACATTTTACCTCAATTTAGGATAGACTCTTGAATTTTGAGGAGTCAAAATAGGATGAACGGATCATATAAACCCTAAGGCAAATATAATACAAGCCCAAACGAAAAAATATAAACAATATATATATTAGGGATGTAATAAATGGATCTAAATTCTAAATTTAATACTAAACAGAAAACAATAAATATATATATATATATAAATGGATCTTAATTATAAATTTAATACCAAACAGAAAACAATAAATATATATATATATATATATACAACTCGTCTAAACATCAGCCCAACAATGTTAGATCTGTAAATTTGCTTTCGCAAATTTTTTGTTCTTCCCTCGCCGGGATTTGAACTCATGCTACATATATATATATATAATTATACAAGTCTAATTTGAAAACAACGTCCAAACCTATGATTGCGGTGGATAAAAACCGCAATTTTCATACGTGAAAACTATTAATTCAATATCAAACAGAAAACAAAAAACAAATATATATATATATATTTATTGTTTTCTGTTTAGTAATAAATTTATAATTAAGATCCATTTATTACTTCGGTGATCCGTTTATTTGGCAATCGCCAATGGCAGTCAGCAGGGTTCAAGAACATTTGTTGTTCGACCTGTTAGTCAAATGCGTTTTGTTAAAATATACTTTTTGACTTTTTGGTCTTTTGGAAAATGTTGTTTGTGCTGTATTTAGACCCCTCTAACAAGAAATTTATTTTGCATGCACACGTATAAAAATTGCAGTTTTTATCCAACGCAATCATAGGTTTGAACGTTGTTTTCAATTTAGACTTGTTTATATATATATATATATATATAACAATAAGAAGAAGTGGCATGATTGATAATGAGACAACCAACGAACAGAGACAAAATGACGTCATCAACTATAGCTTCCGTACTTTAAGGAATACAATAAATCACTTATTTATAGGATTTTTTCATTGGACATGATGGTGATTATTTAGATCAATAAACTTCTGGTTATTGAAAATAATAATCCCAGTTCCTATATAATTAAACATTTAAATAATTGGTTGATCTATAATGAAAAACATGTGGTTATCAATTTAATCTAAATCAATAGAATTGTTATTTTGGTCGTATTATTATTTAAGTATACCCAACCATATCTGAAATGTGCTATCATGCTAATACTTATCAAGTTTATTGCGGTATAGACTGAATACAGCACATACTTTATATTGAAGATTGAGGACAGATGCAGAGCTTGTCTTGATAGATATGTCCAAGATGTGTCAGAAGATGCGCGAAGACATTTATCAAAAGAGTATGAATACTTGATTTCAAATACAGAAGATAACTCTTGTGTATTCAAGAAAATACGACAAAATCTCTTAAACTTAGCCAAAACAATGAAAACCTGGAATATGGACTATCCACTTAAATTTATTCAGTTGGAAAAACGTCTTCAGCAGAGGAAGAAGAAGTTACCAATTATTGAATTTCGTGAACTTAAGGACATTTCTACTGAAACTCAAAAGCCACTTACTCACAAAGAACTTAAGTTTTTCTTGGAATTTCACCATGAAATGAGAACTTTAGTATATTTTGAGGATCTTTCTGATTATATTATATTAGATACACAGTGGTTGTCTAATGCTTTCAAATGTATTATAACAGCAAAGAAATTCCAATCAGACGCAAGTCGTCATCTTGTTAAAGATAAATGGGATGATTTGAATGTCAGAGGATTATTACATAGTGTGGTTTTAGAAAATATATTAGACAGAAATAAGAAAATTTTTGAATTTGAAGAAGAAGAGCACCCTAATGATAAGCACAAAGATCATATCCTGAAAGTCATGGAAAAATTTGATATTATCATACGACCAAAAACATCAGACCAAGTTGCTGCTGATGAGAAACCTCTGTACTATGTACCATGCATGGTAAAAGCAGTACCTGGAAAGGACATATATGAAATGTTTAATGTGACAAAAGATACATGTAGGATATCTACTTGGTTGTGTTTCCAGTTTAGCTTTCTACCACCACATCTAATGAATCATTTAATTGCTTCTCTGAGCCGGAATTATGAAGTTGCAGAAGTGGGTGTTACCAGACAAGAGCAAAGTAAAATTGCTCTTTTCAAAAACATTGCTGTTTTTGAGTTACAGAAGAATACAAAGTTAACAAAATTACTTGTTATGACATTCCGAAATATTATTCAGATACAAGTTTGGGATTTTGTGGCAGAAATTAAAGCTGGACAGTTTAAATTCATTGCCGACTTTATGACACAGGAAATAAACAAAATAATACATACACGATTCAAGATGTCAACTGTAGAATTTTCAAAAAAGTGGGATTGTGGTTTTAAAAAGCCAGAATGTATGACAGAATCAAGGAACTTTGATATTGTTGGAAAATATTACTGTACAACATGTCTTGAACCACACACCTTCACTGATGAATGGTCAGACCAGCCAAAGGTAAGTAACTATTTGTTTATGAAGACACATCTGCTTTGCATTTAATGCATAATACCAGGTGTCACTTTTTGTGCCCCGCGCATTGCGTTGCTGCGGGGACAAAAAAATATTTGGCGTCCATATATCTGTCTGTATGGTCTTTTTAGCGCTATCACATGTATAATTCTTGACAGATTGTTATGAAACATATTTCAAAGATTTATATCAGCAATGTCTCGGACAAGTAATTTAAAAAGGTGTTATGCCCCTTTAATAAATTAATCATATCTAAATTGCATCGTATTTTCTCTCAAGCCTTCATTGTCGAAAAAGCGAGACATAGCGATCCTACATTCCGTCGGCGTTGTCGTCGGCGGCGTCCACAAATATTTACTCTGTGGTTAAAGTTTTTGAAATTTTAATAACTTTCTTAAACTATCCTGGATTTCTACCAAACTTGGACAGAAGCTTGTTTATGATCATAAGATTATATTCAAAAGTAAATTTTGTAAAAAACAAATTCCATTTTTTCCGTATTTTACTTATAAATGGACTTAGTTTTTCTGCCAGGAAACATTACATTCACTCTACGGTTAAAGTTTTTGAAATTTTAATAACTTTCTTAAACTATCCTGGATTTCTACCAAACTTGGACAGAAGCTTGTTTATGATCATAAGATTATATTCAAAAGTAAATTTTGTAAAAAAAACAAATTCCATTTTTTCCGTATTTTACTTATAAATGGACTTAGTTTTTCTGCCAGGAAACATTACATTCACTCTACGGTTAAAGTTTTTGAAATTTTAATTACTTTCTTAAACTATCCTGGATTTCTACCAAACTTGGACAGAAGCTTGTTTATGATCATAAGATTATATTCAAAAGTAAATTTTGTAAAAAAAAAAATCCATTTTTTCCGTATTTTACTTATAAACGGACTTAGTTTTTCTGCCAGGAAACATTACATTCACTCTGTGGTTAAAGTTTTTGAAATTTTAATAACTTTCTTAAACTATCCTGGATTTGTACCAAACTTGGAGAGAAGCTTGTTTATGATCATAAGATAGTATCCAGAAGTAAATTTTGTAAAAAAAAAATTCCATTTTTTCCGTATTTTACTTATAAATGGACTTAGTTTTTCTGCCAGTTAACATTACATTCACTCTGTGGTTAAAGTTTTTAAAATTTTAACACCTTTCTTAAACTATCCTGGATTTGTACCACACTTGGACAGAAGCTTGTTTATGGTCAAAAGCTAGTATCTAGAAGGAAATTTTGATAAAATTTTGTTCCATTTTTTCCGTATTTTACTTATAAATGGACTTAGTTTTTCTTCCAGTTAACTTTACATACAGTCTGCAGTTAAAGTTTTAAAAACATTTATTAGATTCAAAAACCATCCTGGATTTTTACCAAACTTGGACAGAAGCTACTTACAATCATAAGATAGTATAGAGAGGAATATTTTTCTTAAATTTTTTCCTCATTTTTGTTGAGCCTGCGATTAACAGCAAAAGTAGGCGAGACACTGGGTTCCGCGGAACCCTTACTAATTTTTTTTTATAAGATATTTGTAAAAAGTTTTAAACATGAAAAAAAAGCTTTTTTAGTTATTACTTGAGGAAAGATCAATTAAGTGCAGAGTGGGACATAGGATCTCTGTTCTTTTATCATGTCTAAGTCTTACTCCATGTCTTAATGACTACACAAGAAATGTAACGTTGGGCTTTTAAAAAAAAATGTGTAGATATTGTACAAGCCTATCGAAAATATCATGATCAGCATTTGTGAAACTTATACAGTTTCTTAAAAGTGTTTCAATATTTTGACAATTTCATCAAAACTTGCCAAACTGTGTTAAGTTTAATTTTTGTTTTCTATCTATAACAAGGAACTGCTAAATTACTTCATATTTCTTCATTGTAAAAATTTTCTAGTGTTGTCTATGGTTAACCGGTAAACCACTGGAAGAACCGAATATTAAATACCAAAACCACTTACTGGTTAACCAGACCTGTTTTTCTTTATATATGAAATAATTTATATTTTTTTTTAAATTTTAGAATCATCATCATGCTCTTTAATACATCATAATACGACACATGATTTGTCCAGTATATTGATTACTATAATTGTTAACTTTGAATGCATTTCAACTTAACCAAATTAATTAGCACACAGTAAACTAGCACACAGAAAACTTGCCCATCTACAGTAAACATGATTAACATAAATATATATTGAACAGTTGTAAACAGATATAATTTTAATTCATTATTTGACTTCGATTTACATGTAATATTGCATAGACCTACGTGTAGACCCCGTTTACACTTGTACGAAATTGAATTGATCTTAATTTGAATCGATCTTGAAAAGACCAGGTCGATCTTTTTTAATCCATTGCGTTTACACTACTACATAAAAAGAACCGGTCTGACCTTAATCCTAAAAAAAGAATAGTAAAGGAAATTCTGCATCTTGCGCGGACTATCACACACTGCAAATTCATGGAGAAAATAGTTTGCTCATTGGAATTTCGTATTGATTTATTAATATTTTTTTTGGTTCATACATCACAAGTCTTTAACAAACACATGTGTGTAGACTCGCTAAAAAACGAATGGTCAATGGGTTTGAAGATGAGGATTTGCAGTAAAGAAATAGAACTTATCGATTTAGAAGATATACCCAAAAACAGTGGAATCTATGTTTACTTTTCTTATTCCATCCATTGTTTTTAAACAAGTGTGTTTTTGCCGCTGAACATGCACAGATTTATTTTCATATCTAAATATAACATAACCAGTAAAAAATCAATCGCGATCGATCTAAGCGTTTACACTTGAAGAAAGATCGTTTCAAATAAGATCGATCTTTTTTAGCTTACATGAAAAATATTTTTATGTTTGTCATTAACTTGGGTAAACAAAAGTTTTTAACACATTCACAGAACTATATCATGTATATTGATATTGAAACATCATACACATTTCAATGAATAAATTTTACATAAACAGAGTTAAATGTCTCAATTTTAAAACCATGATGAAACAAATCTAAAAATTCAGGAATATTGGAGTGAAAAAAAAAAACATTTCAATCTTTGCCTGAGGGTTTAACTTGAACTGATGATGTAAAAAAACCTTTTTCACTCAATGACATAAAAACCCTTATAAGTAAATTCTTATCCATGTTATCTGGAGCTCTGTAAGTCTCAATATGCAAGACAGGGATTACTATCCAGTGGCAGCAGCGTAAACTATTTGTATACATGGTATACAGCTAGCTTAATATATATTCCAGAATGTTGAAGACCTGGATGCTTCATGTTTTGTATGCAGATACCTTATGTACAGTCCTTGGCCTCCTTTCATTGTTCACTGACTGCTTAAAATGATTAAAATTTGTTTTTGGCATGTGAATTTTTCACTTATTATGAGTAAAAGGATACATATATCATTTAATAATCAACATAAATATCTAGAACTTGAAACTATCAAAACATTAAATGTCGTAAATTGTTGAATTCTTTCAAAACTTCTATTAAAATCAAGTGCAGATAATATTATTGAATTTGTGTTTTTTTTTTTTTTTTTTGTTAAACCAAGTCTCATTACCTGCTATCTTTAAATACCCCACTCAACGAAGTTCCCAAGGGTATAATGTTTTTGACCCGTCCGTCTGTCTGTCCATCCCTCCGTCCATCTGTCCGTCAGTCCTGTTCTTGTCATCGCAACTACTCTGAAACCACACAACAGAATTCTATGAAACCTTTTTAGATAATAAGGACATACTATGAAGATGTGCATATCAACAGGAAATTATGATTCAATATTTTTCTAGGAGTTACGCCCCTTTGAACTTATTTGTCCCAATATACTACTGCAACAGTTTGTCGTCACAACTCTTCTGAAACCACACAACAGAATTTCATGAAACTTTGTAGATAATAAGGACATATTATGTAGATGTGCATATCGACAGGAAATTATGATTCAGTTTTATTTCTAGGAGTGACGCCCCTTTGAACTTATTTGCTTCAATATACTACTGCAACAGTTTGTCATCGCAACTCCTCTGAAACCACACAACAGAATTCCATGAAACTTTGTAGATAATAAGGACATACTATGTAGATGTGCATATCGACAGAAAATTATGATTCAGGTTTTTTTCTAGGAGTCACGCCCCTTTGAACTTATTTGCCTCAATATACTACTGGAACAGACTAGTTTGTCATCAAAACTCCTCTGAAACCTCACAACAGAATTTCATGAAACCTTTTAGATTATAAGGACATACTATGTAGATGTGCATATCGACAGGAAATTATGATTCAATTTTTTTTAACTTAAAGTTCTTTTATTTGTCCAGTGACAATTCAGGAGCATGGTTAATGTGAGCGCGCTCACTAAGGTTCTTTAATTTTAAAATATTTCTGATGTACGAAGTGATTTAATCTTGCTGTATCTTTAAATATACATGTAATAATGATCCAGGGACTAATTATGTTGCTAAAATTATCAGAATCAAAATCTGTGTGAATAGGATGACCAGTCATGTCAGGTGATTACCTTGTACTGAATCTGGTATAATGACATAAAAAGCACTTGTTTAAGTATCATATCACTATTTATCTTCCAAAATATCACTTCTTTAAGTATGATTATTTTGAATACCCACACTAATTTCAACACCCCCAAACAGTGAAATTTTCATCGCGAACAGTAGAATTTTATATCATAATCTGCAACATGAAACCTTGAATTCTACAGGAAAATTACTCCCACTGCTGGGAAAAATCAGGTCATTATCATAATTATGTAAAGCCTTCATTATAGCATTTGTTCGACAAATATAGAATTTACAGCTAAATGATTGCCTCAAATGCATAAACATGTAAACCTTTCTATCGGAAAGAAAAAAAAAGGTTCAATTTTCAAATTTTACTAATAATAAGATATAAACGTGCACTTAGTCAATTGTCTAACCATATATTAATGTACGACAACTGGTA